CTGATGCTTCATGTCTGATATTTGCTTGGTGAGTTTTTAAAGTTTAGAAATTCTGTTGTGTTTAACACTTTGACTTCCTGTTGGTGTAGTTTTTCTCTCCAAAGGAACAAACATACGTAGACTGAAAACTGAGCCATTCAGGATCCTCTTAAGATCTTGTATATTACAGCAAAGATACCCCACATTTAAATGTATCCAATCTCTCACCAAATCATAGTAATGATGTCCTCAGTTGCTTCAGTCCATGTGTTAAATCTGTGCTCTGTTTGTAAATAGGATATATACCTTCCTTCCCTTGTTTTGCTAGTGAATGGTAAAACAAAAGGCCATGAAGGAGCTCCCGGTCATGCCTGTTTTGCTTCCACCAGTGGTGTTGGGTAAACTCCATCTCAAGCCTCCTGTGCTAATTTCTTAGTCTTCAAAGTTTCTGACTTCAGATGAGGAATTTTGAGTGCACTGTATATTCCAGCATATGTCTTGTTTAACTTCTCCAAAAAAGTAATTAGAATGAAGCACAGTGTTTCATGTGTGGTTTTAAAGCAGATGAGTCAGTTCAGTTGAGCTAGACACTGTTTCTGAAACATCCAATACCTTTATTTAGATTGGGGAGGAAACTAAGAAATAAGAAGGAAAAAACCAGCAGATTCAGCAGATCTTATCTCACTATTTCCCCCTCCTGTTTTCATTTGCACTTCTATTTCCATGCAATATTTCATTTCTTTATGCATCTATCACTGTTTTCTTCTGTCAGAAGTTCAAAGGCAGCCTGCTTTCATAAAGGAGAGGCAGTATTGACTGATCTATAATATTGTTTCTACCTTTTTTGACCAATTCTCAATGCATATTTCAAGTTTTGAGAAGCATTTCATGAATCACTGGGCAGTTTGAAAAATCTATAGTGTAGGCTCATTACTTTGCTGGCTGCTGAATCTTTTCCATTGGTTGTGTTGCAAGGCAAAAATGCAATCTTTTCTCTCAGGAAAAGAGGTTAAAATTTCATATATACATAAATAATAAAACAACACATGGAGGTGATATCAGTGTGATGTATTTCATTTTATATATACTTTTGACTGCCCTGCTGTCCATTAATCCACACAAACTCCCATCATATTCCAACCTCCTTAGCACCTTTAGTCTTGCTTTTCTAGATAGTCAGTCAAAAAAAGCCTCCTTCTTTCCTCTGAAGTGTGGCACTCCCAGCCATCCTCCCAAATGTCACTGGCTGCAGGCCCAGGACAAGCACTGTTCTGTTCTATGCTAGTGATCATGGTTTAAGCTCCAACCTCATGAGGCTGCAGAAGTGGGAGCTTTACACTTCCAGGTGAGCTCCTTACCCCAGCAAGCAGAGATGGATAAAATGGCTGTAGGAGTTTATTTCAGTAGGGCCAGGAGGCCCAGCTCCTCGAGACAGATCCAGGCATTCACAGACCACAGAATGTAATGGAAATTACAAAATGATGCAACTTACCAGGAGTCATTTTCAGATTGATTTTAAATATTTAACAAATATTTTCTCATGTTTCCTGCCTATCAAATTTTATTAACTCATTCTGCATTTCAAAGGCATAAGGATATCAAAGTGGTCCCGGTACAGTTAACCTCGCCCCTCCAATCTATTTTAAGCACTTCTATCACCAATATTTTTCTGAAAAACACCTTCATACACATAGTGTGATGGGAATGTATTTAAGTGCTTTCAGCACTCCTGCAGAGTGACATGCAGAACTCACCTAGAGTTTAACTACTTATATCACACCAGATCCCTTTTCTTCTCACTCTTTTGTGAAGGGTAGTAGATAAACAAAAACTCCCTTTTTCTTATTCTCTTTAAAATTAGGCACAGATCTAAATCAGTTCTCTAAAATATTACCTTTTTTTCTTTTTTTTTTTTTTTTTTTTTTTTTCCCCAACAAAAGAGCCACACTGCCATCAATGAGTCACAAAATAATTAAACATTTAAGACTGTCTGGGCTTTTGTTCTGAGGAGGTGACAAGGGTGCTGAAGGGTAGCTGCAGCTTCCAGTTTAGAGGCATTCTGTGTACTGACTGCATGTGCAAACAGTCTGCCTCTGGTCATGGTGGAAAGGAGACAGGCACAGCAAGATCACACAGGCAGGAGACAGTGCACTTAGGGAAAACAACATCTGGGTTATCAACAGAAACACCAACCATTGCCCTCATCCCAAATTCCACTGAGTATTTTGGCTACCAGTTGCTGAAGTGCACTGGCATAGAGGCACCTCCATTCAGGTACTCATTACAGACCAACCATCATGTGGAAAGTATATTTAAAATTGTGCATTATATTAAGGTGTAAATTATGCTATACAATCTCTATAGGAACATCATGAGAAATCAGCCATAGCTTGGAAGGGTTATTTTATATCTAAGGAAATCTCTGAAAGACAAACTGGGCTAAAATGCATTATAAAAAGGTAGTTATTTCATACATCCAGACATCTCAGGGGAAGTTGCCCTTTGAGCAGTTTTATTTAGGAATCAGTGAAAGAGCTCTGCTGCTCCAAGTCCATTGTCAGTTTTGCGAGGTTTGTCTCTCTCTGCACCACTACTTCTTTCACAGATTTCTCACTCTGTATGGATTTTTATGTTGTCATTAGCATCTTGGGTCCTCCTGAAGCTGCCACTAGCAGATATTTATTCCATATGGCTATTTTGTCAGCCTGTAGCTACAAGAAATATGAAAGTGGGAAGGGTAAGTTTGAAGAGGAGACAACGCAGACCATTCCATGCAGACAAAAAGCTCTCCTCAGTCAGATTTGGTTGAAAAGCCCTTCTACCACTCTGCCCCTTTTTCTCCTGGGCTAGGGAAAACAGCTGTTTATGTTTTAATCTGTCTTTACATCCAGCTCTAAGGAGGAATATAAATGCATGGATCGTTCATTATCCCTTGCATATAGAAAATAAATTGGTTGAAGCAGAAAGTCAAATGGACTTTAAGAAGTTTTCTGTATTGACTCATTTCCAAGTTGATTAAATGCTCTTAAGTGCAGCCTATGCTCTTCTCCTTGCAAATCTAGCTATTGGGTATACAGATTCATATTTACATGTATGCAGATTCCAATAGTATTAAAAGCCCCAAACCTCCAGACAGCTAGAACTATTAGTTCACAGGAATTTAAAATTAAATTAAATAGCTGGGCTGTTTTCCAGATGATTTTTAAAGTTCCTGTGCTTACACAAAAACCTCCGTAGGATTTACATTACACTACTGTATTTGTTTCAGTGAGCATTTGACTGCCAAGAATACGGTCTATGACCAAAATGGCAATCTAATTAAATATTTGACAAGCAGAAAGCTGGACATTATTCAAGTCAAGCATTAAATTAGAAAATTTAGTTTGTCTCCTTTATCAGTAGATTTTTAAGTCAGCCTATTCTACCAAAACCCGTAACTTTAATGAATTTGGTCAGACATACTGTGTAACAGATGTCCAACATACAGCCAGGAGCCTAAATCATAAAAATGATGCTTTGCTTTGGCACGGCAAAATATATATGAAAGACTCAGAAAGGTCAGTCACCAGCAACCTGCTTGCTGGTAGTTGAGAAACAGCACTGTAAAATGCATGAGCTGCCTTCTGTAGTCTCTTATAGGAAGCCTTGGAGAGCCACAGATAATTTGCTTTCAATGATTCATCAAGTTGGCCCTTTGTTTCACTAATTTGAGTGTCAAGTGCAACCACATAATAAAGAATTACCGAGACCTGATAAGATTTTTCTTACATTGCTCTGTTTGTCTGAACAACTGGTACTGTTGAAACCAACCCTACAAACTGCATAGACAGCGAGTGTGTGTGCAATTGGCGTCTTCTGTGGAGTGATAAAGGTGTTTACTGCGTTATCCGCTGGTGGACCACACCTTCATGTTTCTTTTCCCTTTCTTAAAAGGTACTAATTGCAGCATGCGGTGCCCATGCTAGAGATGGCATATGTTTCACTTTTAGTCCTTCAATGAATTAACAAAGATAAAAAATAGATTTCAATGACAATTCCAGCCTTGAGAAACGTGCTATTGTGACCATGGTTGAGTTACCCTGTTGATAGTTTTCTCCTTAATGTAATTTTTAATACTACATAGCTGTAGGTTAGATGTGAAGCCATATATTAGAGGTACTATTTCAATGAGTAGTTTCAAGTGAAATAACTTCATGATTAGGAGGTAGATTTTTTTTAAAATGCTGTCAGTCTAGTAACTTCATAAGAGAACAACCCTAAAAACGGCTTGTGTAGAAGGGGCACATTTATAAACGTGGAATTCCCACAGCAAAAGTTATTTGTAATCTAGGGTCTGATAAAGTTTTCAGAACTGAACTGTACACTATTAACACAAAGAAAGAATAAAAAACTTTAGAAGTGAGAGTGGGAAAATGTCCTCCTTCAGAAACCAGAGAGATGGCATGGGGAGCAAGTCTGTGAGATTTGATTTATAAGACGAAGAAAGCTTCTGTCAAAAGGGTTTGAAACCGGTTGTTAGAGCTTAGGCAAAATTGTGTGAGGGGGCATTGTCAGCGCCGCACAAGGAGTTGAGGGCGTCGATTTTTTTACTAACGTGAATTTAAAGCATTGCCTGATCGCTGCCAGCTCCAGAAAACCCAGGTAGCGGTGGGAGAACGAGAAATTTTCCGCTAGGGAAAAATACAAATAATGTAATGTGAAGGTCGTGCCCCGGTACCACAAGCAGGACAGAGGCCTGGGCAGAGGGAGGGAGGGAAGAAAGGAGCTCCTGCCCCCGCTCCTGCTCTCTCGGGGCCGGAGGGGCGCCGCCCGCCCGGTGCCCGCGGCCATCCCGCCGCTGCCGCGCCCCCCGCGCCGCGGGCTCGCCGGCGGAGCAGCGCCCGAGCGGGAGGCAGAAGTTAACTTCCACCTGCCCTGGAGTCGCCGCTGCGCCGGCAGCAGGAGGCGGGGGCGGAGGCGGAGGCAGGCGGGGCAGCCGAGGACCCGGCTCTGGCAGGCTCCGAGGGTCCGGCCGAGTGTAATTCCCCCCTAATCTCCGCCACGGCGGCGCTTCCCTGGCCGAGCCATGTCTGCGGCTTCCCCGCCATGCCGAGCCTAGCGGGGAGCGGGAGGACTGGCGGCCGGGAGGCGCACAAAATGAAGACCCTGATGGTAAGTGCATTGTTGGCACGGCTCATCCCGGCTCCGGCGGCGGGGAGGAGAGCAGGGGAGCGGCGCGGAGCGGAGCTGCCCCGGGCACCCTGCACACGCTCCAGCCTTCGCCGGGCTGCATCCCCGCGGCTCTCCGGGATCGCGCGAAGGCGACCAAACCTTGGTGGCGGCGGCCAAGAACTTTCCGCCTGCTTTCTTTTATTCGTGTTGCTCGCGGCTTGGGGGTTTTGTGTGTGTGTGCGTTTTAAGGCGCGTACAGAAAACCGATCTGCTTAAAGGACGAGGCTGGAGGTATCTGGGCGAGGGGAAGCTCTACAGTCCCCAACACTCGTTAAAATGCGCGAATGAGATGCCCAAAGGGGGACGGCGGCACGGGAATGAGAGGCACCGGGTAGCCGGGCGCACTGAGGGGAGAAGAGGCGAGGAAGCAGGGCTGGGGAAGAAGGAGGGAGCCACGGGAGTGGGCTGGCGAGGGCGCAGGAGGAGGACGGAGGGGCTTCCTCAGTTTCTCCTCGCACTTCTGCCGGGTGTCTGGTGGGTGAAACTTGCGGGTGCGCCGGCAGGGAAGCGGCGCGCCCGGCCGGGCCCCGCGGCGGGGGGAGCCCGCTGAGCCGGCTCTCTCTCTGCCCCCCGCAGCGCCACGGGCTGGCCGTCTGCCTGGCGCTCACCACCATGTGCACCAGCTTGTTGCTCATGTACGGCGGCATCGGCATCGGCGGGGGCCACCCGGAGCCGCGGCGGCGGCAGCAGCAGGTGGCGGCGGTGCCCAGCCGCCCGCCGGAACGCGGCCAGCGCCACCCGGCTCTGCCCGTCGGGGCCGGCCTCCTGGAGGGCTACATCAGCGTCCTGGAGCACAAGGTGAGCCGCCGGCCGCGGGACCGCCCCTCCTTCCCGGCCCCGGGGCAGCCGGACCCCGCGCTGGCCCGGCCTACCCCCGGAGGCACCGACCCCGAACCTGCCGAGCTCTCCCTCCTGCCCCGCGCGGTGCCCGGTTCCTCTCGGCGCGGTCGACGTGCCCTGCCTGCCTCGCTGTCGGGGTTGGCTTAAGCGGCCTCCGGATGCCTCTGGCCCAAGAGCAGGAATTACCGGGGTCAGGAGCCGGGCTCCAGCCCGCGGTTGGGTATTTATGCAGTGCTGCTTCTCTTCTCCCTTGCACAGTAGAGGGGGGTGGGGGAGAAGATGAAGTGTTTCTAATGTTGTGTCCTCTAGGTACAGTACAAATGTATGCTTATGATGATATTAGTAAGGGTTAAAGAATGAGGTTTATTTACTGGAGGGCAAAGTCAATAGGTAGGTGTTTATTCTTAGCTCATTTTGTCATAGGAAAAAAAAAAGTCTCCTGCACAAATGACCTTTTCATCCCCTTTCTGGGAAGCAGAAGTTGTCACCCATGGTTTCCATTCTAGAAATTTGGGGCACTTCTTTAATGGTGAACAAAATGATGTCCCTCCCCTTGACAGAGGAATTATCGGGCTGTATTATCAGACTATAATACTTGTTTACCAGAGATAGGCAGGCTAAGCTTTGATGGCTCACAGGACAGATGTAGTGACATAAAGTGAGCAAGGTGACACATTCATGCCAAAGAGATCCTCTAGCTTCAGTAATTTTCTTACAAGGCAGATTCCTCTGCTTTTTGTTTGGTGTTTGGTTTGTTGCTTTCTCCTGGAAATTCCAAGGTCTTCCTCTTCCAAAAGATATTGTTTAGTGTACACACATCTTGCAGTAAAAAATTATTTTAAAAAATAAGCAATAGAAACGAAGATTCACAACTTTCTTACGTTTTCACATCCAGACTGACAATCTTCTGAAAGATATGTTGTCAGACAAGTTACTGGGCTCAGTTTAGAGGTACTGTGTGAAGACTAGTGACTTTGATATACAGAGATTTTTATTGTTCCTTCTGGCATAACTTTCTATGCAAGAGTTATCTGTAGGGCTCTTAGCACAGAAAAATAGCACATGATGGTGCCTTGTAGGCTGTATTTACTTCTTTACATGGTTCTCCTGGAAATTCTCAGATGTAATGTCTATAGAAAAAGGAAGTTTGGCCATGGGCTTCCTACTGTCTGATCTGTGCTCTTGTAATTCTTTTGTTCTTCTTGAACATGACTTTAGTGATAGGTGTAGATAGATGTGCACATGGTTGTTATATCCAGCAGTAATTGAAAAGTCATCTGTGGGCTTTTTGGGATGCATGTGTGATTCTGATAGTCTTCTGATTCTGATAATACCTCACACTGGTTTCTCCAGACTCACAAACATGCCTCGTTAACAGCCCATATTTAAAATCCCTGTTCTGTTATTTTCCAGGATAATTTTAATGTTTCCTTGTCTTTTGGAGAAAAATGATCCTTTGTTTTTTTAATATATTGTAATATGGCCCAAACCCCACAGATACTCTATTTCTGAATTTCATTTCGCACAGCTCATGCCTCACAGTAATAATCTCCTGAAGGTTTAATAACTTTTCCACCTAACTTCTGTGGGTCAGAAAGAATATTGTGCTATTCCTGCTGTGTTCCCTGCTTGCTTTGTCTGAATTTAATGCACATGAGATCATGCAGAGAGCTGTACCACTGTGGTATACAGAGCAGTGAGGACACTGCATTACCATAAGGAGACGGGGGATAAAGGGGCTTTGTCTCTTAATAATGTTTGTTTTTGTAATTTAATTTGGTAGTCCCATATAATTGTCATGGATTTACAATCCCAGAATACATAGGTTTCACCCATAATAAAAAATGGAGAATGCAAAAAATCACAGAAGTTCGTGGTTTGGAAAAAGAAGGATTCAGGATTGGTGATGGTGGGAGAACAGGGAGAGAGCAAGAACTGAGGAATGGTGAGACATGTCCAGAGAACCTGTGGTTTGGGTGGGACATTGGAAACTGCAGAGAAGACAGCTTGAATAGCAAGTGAAATGAGGGAATTGAGGAAGTTTTAAGGAATGTGAAGAGAGCTGCAGGAAGAGAGCAAGGTAAAATTCTGTTGCTGTGAAAAGGACATGATATTTGAAGAGATGGGGAGGTCTGGAAGGAGATGAGAAGTATCTGTTGTTTGAGGACAACAGGCTTGCATAGGTAAAGCAGGAATGAATTCAGCAATGGTACATGTTGTTTTGATAACTCATGGTGTGAAATGACAATGAATGGTAGATTTTTCACAGTATGGCTTCCTTAATTTCCCATATAGAATCTTGGAATTATTTGTCAGGTTGAATGACCTAAAGCTGAATGACCATTATACAAAAATCATCCTTGGTACGTGTACATGCATGAATGACAGGTAGCAGTACACCTGGATCTGGTAGCAGTAGAATGTCTGGATCATTCTTGTGTTTGTTTCTGGATCCTATAATTTGCTTTAACAGAAAAATCTCCTTTCATGTTCGTGGTGTTGTACCCATTCTGGTGCATTTAATGAGAGTAAGTATGCACATATATGTAGGAGCATGCCATGTACTGAAGTTAGTAATCCATAATCACAATGTCAGTATTGACACATGAGCTGTGTAAGTATGTGGTAGTAAAGATGTTTCTCTTCGGGGATGAAATTGAACAATTGTCCTCATTGTGAAATATCATGTATTGCAAACGTCTGTCACTACTAGCAGTACAGCTCATTTAGTAGTGCCGGATGATCATGTATGGAGACTATTTGCCAGAAAATCTGGGCACTTAGTACTAAGTAACAATGATTTTGAAATATAGCCTGCAATATTATTATTACCAATTATTTTTCTCCTTTTATTTTATATTCAGTAAGAATTGTAGTTCCTCATCCATACTGTCCAGATAAGCAGGCAGTCTCTGAGAATACAGTAAAATATGTCATTTTTTTTTTTACTAGCTTGAAGAGGTTTTTTGCAGGAGTTTCTAGTCTTTGCTTTCATAGTTCTGCAAGCCCATTTTTTCATGAGTCAAGCATCAGAGATCAGAACCTTGTACTTAGCTTTAGTAGCCTTTCACAGTTTAGCAGTGCATACTTAATTTTTGTTGAGCTGAATCCTTGGAACAAAAAAAAAAAAAAAAAAAAAAAAACAAAAAAAAAAACCAAAAGGTCAGAAATAATAATTTTGCAGAGATGCAAGTGGATCCTTGTCATTTCACCTCTGCACGTCCCAGAGTAACAGCAGTTGACAGGCATTGTTGATGGATGTTTGAAATGAATAAATAGTATCTCTTTTTGTTCCCAATAGCCATATGTTGTATCCTAAAAAGGTCTCACATTTTGAACAGAAAATACGGTTTGCTGATAGTTGTTATTGAGAGGTCAAGGACTGAAACAAAGGGAAGAAGTGGTGGCTTCTACTTCCAGGAGCTTCTGGTTCCTACGGAGGCACTTTGAGTGTAGCACTGCTTAGCTACTGCATCTGCTCTGCAGTTAGAAAGGACAAGAGTCCTACACTGTCAAAGTGACATCTTTCATGAATTCTGTGGGTGTTATCCTGAAATTAAAGGGGTTTTGTCACTGGCATTGAGGGAAGCAGAATTATGCTCTTCTGTGCGGAGGCATGGGGATAAACCTTTCTGTTGATTTATCATGGTGCTAGCAAGAAATTACAATGCTAATATTTTTAAAGCGATTACTGCATACAAATAAGAGAATGTTAATGAAAGTAGGAAACCTAGCACTGCTCCAGAACTTGCAAGAAATAAATATTTAACCATTATATTACGATTCTGAAATGAATGTGAGAACATGTCTCTGGATAGTTAAAAGCCTTTTTACCCAGTATTGACTCAACAGTTGGTGCTGCAAATAAAATATGAGTTTGTCACGTATGTAATTGAATAATATTTCAAGCCATCAGGGATTTTGTTTCTTAGAAAATAAAAAAAAAATTAAAATCAATCCTGCAGTCAAAATGCATGATTTATTAGAAACACTTTTAAATACCTTAAGAGCGAATTGAGATCAACATGATAATTTAAGTGATCACAATGATTTCTTAATTTATGATAATGTGAATTATCATATGCAAAGAAATCTTGATGATCCCTCTAAATTAATGCAGATCAGAGAATAGTGTAGTTAATGAAGTGTTTGAGGAAGAGTCATTCTACAAATAGTGCTGCTATAGCTCCTTAATCTCCGAGTTGCAGGAAATTGCTCTTGGGTGAAACTACTTTTTTTGGGATAGTAAACTTTGTGCACTTAAAATCAGGTGGGAATCTTGCCATGTTTTATATTATTTTTAGTAATTATTAATTCAAATGAGTTTGGAATTTGAATTGTTACCTCACTAAGCCACTGACAGTTTGGGGCTGGATAGTTTTGGGGGGCTTCACTAAACCAGCCTTCATGACTAAACATAGAGATGAAGAGGAATCAAATTATTCTGAAGGTTTTATTGTTTTTTTATATGAATTTATCACAGAACGATAATGTATCTTACAGCAAAACAGCTTGTCTTGCCTGAGGTGGGATCAAGCCCACGGAGTTAAGTAAACCACGTACCATGATTTCATTACATGTTCCTATTTGCCCCTGAAATTCTCACCTGCAAAGGAAGGAACACAAACTTTATTATACAATTAAGGATTTGATGGAGTTTTTATTATGTGAGAGATCCACAAGGGGGAGACTTTATTCTAGAATAACCTTGTTGGGGACACTTCCCTCTATCAGAGACCTAGGCAAGGTGGGAGTCCAAAACCCCCTTTCCTCAGTGCTCTCTTGGCTTCCTGGCTTTTTGTATTTTTAGGTACCGTAGTTACCTACCACTTATAAGCTGTAGGTTTATTTAAATCCTTATAAAGTTGTCATCTTTAAAAAAAAAATCATGACAGTCAGGGAATGTAACTGAATATCCACACACAGGGAGCAGAGACAATTATTTTTCCAGATTTACA